AATATGTAAACAAAATTAAATTAAAATAATACCCATATGAGAATTAACAATGATTCTGACGATTCTAAGCTAACATAAACGTTCGCCATTGGCAATAATAAGTACCTAACAAATAAACCAAATATTTATCGTGTATGTATAAAAAGGCCCATCCAACACGAACAATTTGCTACGGCTTAAATTATAGTACACATTATGGCGAAAAGAAATGATACCACTAAATTTCGTTTGCGACTATCGGTTCGCTAATTACGGTCATTTTAAATATTGCTCGTGACGTCACGGATTTCTTTGCCGCGACGTGGCGGCGGCCATTTATTATACACGACAATATTTATCCAATTTTGGTTTTACGTCAAGTAACTGCAAACGAACTTTTACTCTTTATAGCTTTCTATTTGTATAATAATATATCACAATTTTGATATAATACCAGTGGTGGCTCGTGATAGTGCAACACAATTTTAGTTTTTAAGGAAAACACCCTATCTATCGTAAGTGAATACTAAATATATGGTTTCATACATCTGTCAGTGGAATATATGAATAATATAAATTACATATACAGGATGGTTTACTAAGCATACTTACTCCATTTTTTTGGGTAAATTATGAATTTACTCAAATTCTAGTTTTTGGAAATTTTAAGTGTTTTTAAAGCTGATATTTTCGGATATGTAGATTTTTCATAAAATATAAGGAATATCCTGTGACGATACCAGTTTTGGTTTTTCAAATGAGTACTTATATTAAAAATTCCTAACCTACCTAAAATTAAAAATTAAATATCCCGTCTACAGACTGATGAAAATCAAACATTTTAACACCAAAATGTATTTAAAGTAATGCTCTATCTATTTATGGAATTTTTAATATTGGTTCTTATTTAAAAAAAAAAACTAAACTGTTATCAACACAAGATACTCGGTAAATGTTATTAAAAATGTATTTGAAAAAATTGGTTTGAACTACACTTAAAAATTCCAAAAGTCAGAATATCAATATACCGACTGTCCTACGAATATATAGCCGTTGAATATCTCCAGAGATAATAAAGATAATCAAACTCTGTTTTTTTTAAATCACTCAAAGGGTAGAGGACTACAAATATTTATATTTTAATTGATTTTTTTTACTCGTGGGATAGCTTAATTAGCCAAAAAAATAGGGTAGGTATGCATAGTTAAACACACTGTATATATTTATATATATATATGTACGTATGTAGGTATATAATAATATAATACACGAGTATACTCTTATGGATATATTTGTTAGTGTACCTAATATCTATAAACTATAGTGTCCAAACGTGTTTTTTTTTTTTTCGTGAATGTTTGATGTTTTTTTGTCGTAATGTTATTTGTAAAACGCAGGTATGGAGAATATAATGTGGTTCGGACGGTATACGTGGTGATGGTGATAATAAAAATAATAATATAAATGTGATAATATTTGACAGGGGTCGATTTTGTTCAATACAATTACNATTACTACTCAGCGGGGGCCAATACGAATGCGTGCGTTTTACCTTTCTAGGTATGCGAATGCGTACGGTATCGGAGTTATAATAAAGATCATGATATCGACCCTACTTACAAAGACGTACGTCTGCGCGTGATATTAGAAGCGACTTGGTCAAATTTATTATACTATGTATCAGTGGTTCCCAACTACTTCTATTCTATGTCCCCTTTGCAGATTTTCAAAAATTTAAAACTATATTTTAAACAGTAAACGGTATATTCATAAGTAAAAAAAAATTGTCGCCCCTAATATGTGAACAAAATTAAATTAAAATAATACCCATATGAGAATTAATAGATATATAGATATATATAGATATATACGAATAGTAGGAATATGCCGGTTCAGGCGCAGTCTCTTAATTCTCACTATTAAAAACTTATTTCTGATCTCTATTTACATTGTTTTATTTCCTGTTCTTTGTTTACATGCATAAAATAAAAATAATATTAAAAAATAATTAAAAATAATATTTAAAAATAATAATAAGAACAAATGTTAAATAAACATTGCACTAGGAACAGTTCTCTTTAATAAAAATAAATAACATAATATATTTCACATCTCGCGTGCAATAGATAAACGTTGCATACAAACTGATAATGATTAATTAATTCAAATCGTATATACCTAATAATATTTTTTGTGTTATTAAAATATTATATTATCTACCAATAATATATATAACATAACAATTTGAATTGTTAATAAATTAATTTCTATCTTTTAGAATTTTACCAAATTTCTATATGTTAATAAAGATTGTATTTGAAAAGTATATATAAAATTTAAAATCAATCGATCCAGTAGAATCCAAAATCTCTTACTAATCACTTTAGACAATATTTGATAATATATTCTAAAAGATCGTTTAAGGTATAGTAGGAGAAGATGAAAACAGAATTGAGCTACGAATTTTCGCTGAGATATTCAAACTAAAAAATTCTCAAAATTGTACTACCAAAAAACGATGTTTAGTATGCAGTGTAAATAAGTTCAAAAATAACAACGGTCTTTGTTTTACATTTTTCTGATTATTATTGAATAAGTAAGAGCATTTCAAAAATTTCCCCTTCCTAAATATATATTTTTTATAAAATCTATCATTATATTGAAACAATATTAAATTTATGTAACTTAAATGTACTAACTTCATTGTACTTTAATGTCCTTTTGTTCTGGTCTAGTGGTCAATACTTCGATTGTAATTCGATATGTAGCAGGTACGAACCCAATATAAGGAATTAAAAATTTGCAAAAAAATATCCAGCCACTGACGTGATGTAAGCTGAAACGTTGTATAATATCATATCTGTTATATGATTGTGACGCTTGTACATGTTGTATGTTGTACGATTTGATAAGTTAGTTGCTTATCCGTGGTAATAAACTTATGCCCAACCGGAATTATTCGAATAGTTCGATCATATGATGGATAAATAGATCAGAACAATTAGGACAATAGTTAACTTAATTCAATCATGTATAAAAAATAATATATGAAAAAAGTGTGAAATAAAAAATCTAGATATTAAATGTTGCACAATTGAAAAAAATTAAATCTGCACATATTAAAAAAATAGGTGTAACAATACTATACTACAGCTTGCAAATAACCAAATTGTAATAGGAAATCAAAGGTTAGATTTAACCAAAACACAAATAATAAAATTAAACAACTCTAAGAAAGGAAAAAAAAGGTTCTAAATTAGAATTGAAATATGAACAAATTAAACAAGGTGAATTTCTTCTACTTTTTGCTGGAATAGGAGCTGCAAGTGCATTAGCTGGGGGAATAAGTTCAATTGCAAATACTATTATAGAAAGAAAACATAAGATAGCAGCAGAAAAAGAAGAAGAAAAACATAATAAAGAAATGGAAAAAATTGTCAATAATGTTAAAACATTACAAGTTGGATCTGGAATTAAAAAGAAGAAAAGATATTGTAGTACTCCTTAGTGAATGAATGTGGAATATTAAATTTAAATAATTCTGATCAAGAAGGATCACATAGGGTTGCATGGATAAAACATGAAAATGTAAACATTTATTTTGATTCTTATGGTAATGCTAATCCACCATAATAATGATTAAAATATTTAGGAGAAAATAATCTTGAAATAACATCTAGACGATTTCAAGACCATAATGAACCGCCTCTTTGTGGATTTTTGTGTATGGATTTTATTAAAAATTATAAAAAATATACCTAAATTATAAATCTAAATCTTTTTTTAATCAGGTTTCTGATTCAAAAAATGTGTTCTTAAGTTATGACAGTTTTTAAATCTTGTTCAGAAGTATCAATAGACCATTCTGCACAGATCTCATTAACTTGTTTATCTAGAACAATTAAATGTGCATTAATATTTGCTATGTTTAATGAATAAAACTTTTGATATATTTCTGGTAAATAATGAATCTTTTCATAAATATAATCACCTAAAATTTCAAAAGTAGAATTAGAATAATGCATTGGATACTTAAAATAAAATAATTGTTTTGTAAAATCAAAGGGCAAGTACTGATCCCAAGAATGAAAGTCAACATACTTTTCTTTATTATTAAAACAATTATTCACATATCTTTATTATAAAACAAAAACTTTTTTATTTTTTTAATCTTTTCTATAATAAATGGAAATTATTTTTATAAATATGATTATTCGATTACAATATAAAACATAGGAAGCAACATCAGAAACAAATTTTAACAGAGATGGTGGTGTTATAACCTTTAAAATAGAAGGTTCTGATAGTTTTCTCAATATTAAACATACAAAATATAATATTAGTGGAAAATACATAAAAAATAACAATACTGAATATGAAGCTAATAGTAATGTTCAATTAGATGATAATTTTGTTGCATTTTTATTTTCACAAATTTCAGTAATAAAAAATGGAACATTAATAGATCAAATTGAAAACGTTGGTAGATCAAGCATAATCAAAGAATGTGTTAGTTATTCTTTAAATGAAAATGGACCAACAATTAATTCTGGATTTCAATCAAGATTTACAGGTGGGGGAAGATTCGAAGATGTTGGGAATTTATATAATCTATGTTTAGGTTTTTTTAAAGATATTAAATATCTAATTTTTAAAGGAGGAAANTTGAGAATTTTAAGATTACAATCTCATCAGTGGAATATCAAGAAATGTATGAATGAAACCAATTTATATGGTAAAACATTCAAGAGAAATATTGCAAGTACCTATAAAAACGTTCATAATCCATTATTTGTAATTGTAGCTTTCTAAACTAATGGATTAGAAACTCAATAAAGAAAAGCTTCTGTTTTTGATCATTGTAATGTAAAAAATATTTGGCTAGAAATTGATAGACAGAGATATCCACAAAAATCATTAAACTTAGATAGGAAAAATGAGAAATTTTCATTTGCATATGATATGTATAAGTCATATAAGAAAACATTCCATAAAACACATCAAGAACTTTCTGAGATGTATCTTACACCTATTGAATTTAAAAAAGCAAGATTAATGTATGTATTAAATTTTACTAGACAACTTGATAATGTTAGTGGAAACAGAAATAATATTATTTTGAATGTAGAATTTAATGAGAATGTACCAAATGGTACAATTTGCTATATTTGTTTATATTTGTTTCAAGTTCTGAATTTACATATGATATCGTCCAAAACACAATTAGAAAAACCATCTAAAACTATAAAAATATTTTTTAATTGAAATATTCTATTAAGAAAGAAAAATTAATTTATTTTGTTAATAAATATGGACAAGAAATTTTTAGAACCAATACACTGTTACAAATGCAAAAAGAAAAAATTTTAAACTAATCAAGGTTCAAACAACAAATGGTCTCTGGAGAATTTCAACACAATGTTTAAAATGTAAAACAAACAAAAGTAAATTTATTAAAACTCCTTTAGGAAAAGAAACATTCTCAAAAATAAAATTTGAAAAAATAACAGAACAAGATAAACCAATTATTGCAAAAGAACTTTATAAACCAGTAAGATGTCGATTTCCAAAAAGGAAAATAAAAACACACGACATTGATGATTTAATGACTGTAGATTTAGTCTTAATAAGAAATTATGGTGATGAAAATTAAGGTTATTTATATATATTGAATGTTATAGATATATAAACTTTTTCAAAACCTGCTTGGTTTGAATATCTTAAGAAAAAATATGGAAAAAATATTACTAAAATTTTTGAAGAAATAATAAAAAGTGGTAAATTACAAGAACACAATTATCCAACATTACTTCACACTGATAAAGAAACAGAATTTGTAAATAAATAAACAGTTTAAGGAAATGTTAACAAAATGCAATATAAAATTATATCACACACAAAAAGATGAGAAATCTGCAATGATTGAATGTTTCAACAGAACTTTAAATGGTAAAATGAGAATACAGTTTGAAGTTCAAAATAAAAAAAATATTGATATTTTACATATTGAACAAATATAATTTCAAAGATATTCATCAAACAATTGGAATGATAATATTTTAAGTAAACAAACCTAGTGAAGAAAAAGTTTTAATTAAATTATTCCCTAATGAAATATCTAAATCAAAAATTAAATTTAAGAATAATAATAGGATCCGAATAAAGAAGTTCAGAAAAACGTATGATAACAAATATAATAATAATTCGATATAAGAAATTGTTATTGTTACAGAAGTATTGAATACAAATCCAGTTACTTATAAAATTAAAGACTTAATTAATGAAATTATTGAAGGAGTTTCTATAATCAAGAGTTACAGAAAACCAAATTTTGTTGCGAGAGAAAAAGGAATTGTAATGAAATAGTAAAATTAAAAAAAAAAAAAAACTACAAATTAAGATTTGTAAAATTTTATATAAACCTAGAAGTATTTCATATTTTAGAGTTAAATCTCATTTGAAATATTATGTAAAACTAAACAATAATTAAACTGTAAGAATTAAACAAGATTGTCTTATTTAAAATTAATTTGTAAAAAACAAATTGAATCTTAGTTAAAAAAAATATAACCTTTAGTAAAATGGATAAAAATATTAATGTTAGAACAGCTTTAAAAAATACGTGTAACATGTGTGGAAAAACAACTACATATAAAAATTGGTCTAGACATTTAAGATCAAAAGAACATAAACGAAATGATCCAAATGGAACTATTAAAACTAGATTTCATGAAAAAACTATTTAGATAATTGAAAATAGTATCCCAAAACATAGAAAAGAGAGAGCAATAAAACCTCACAGAGTTTTCTGGGAATTTTCTAAAATAGAAAAACAAAAACTAACAAAAAGCCAACTATGATAATAACCAAAGAACAAGAAACTGAATTTGAAAAATAAAATAACTGTCATATATGTAAAAAATCTTTGATGGGTTTACCACCAATACTAGTAAAGAAACAGAGAATACTAAATGAAATTAAAGATCTTCAAAAAGGTTAAATATCACGATCACTTAATAGAAAAATATCACGAAGCTGCTTTTTAATTTAATTTAAATTATAAGGTTCCTAGATTTATTCTAGTATTTTTCCACAATCTATCTGGTTATGACACACATTTATTCATAAAAGAATTAGGTATTGATAAAGATAATATAAAAAGAATTGCAAGTAGTGAAGAAAATTATATATCATTTTCAAAAAATACACGATATATGAATAGATCCAATTACTAAAGACCATGTTTTAGATCAGAAAGGAAAACCTATTTTTAAAACAGTTAAAACAAGATTTCTTGATTCTTTAAAGTTCTTATCTAGTTTTTTAGAAAAATTATCTAATATTTTAAAACCATACCAATTTAAAGAATTATTTAAACATTATCCTGAACAATTGTATTTAGTAAAAGGAAAATTATCATATCCTTCTGAATATATGGATTCTCCAGAAAAATATGATGAAGAATCTCTACATAATATAGATAAATTTTACAGCTCTCTTACAGGTGAACATGTAAAACAAAATGCATATGAAAATGCTAAAAAAATATGGGAAACATTCGAAATAAAAATATGAGAGACTTTACCATACTTTATAATAAAATAGATGTATTATTACTTACAGATGTAATGGAAAATTGTAGAGATATTTCAATAAGGCAATTTAAGTTGAATCCTGTTCATTATTATACAACTCCAGATTTTGCATGGAATGTTATGCTTAGAAAAAGACTTGTAGAACTAGAACTATTAAGATATATTGACAAGTATTTAATGTTTGAACAAGGTATGAGGAACAATAAGAGGAGGATTATCTCAATGTAGTATTAGATATTCTAAAGCAAGTAATAAATATATTGGAGAAAAAAGAAAAGAAAAATATCAACGAAATATCTCTTAGATTTGGATGCAAATAATCTCTATGGATGGGCGATGAGTAAATATTTACCATATAAAGGATTTAAATTGTGTAATCCTGATTTGTTTAATACAGAAAAAATTTTAAGAATGAAAGATGACCAGGAAAAGGGCTATATTTAAAAAATATATTATACTAATTTTAGGCTTTATTTAAGTTTAGATTTAAAACTAGAGAAAATACATAGGATAAAAGAATTTGATCAAAAAAATTGGTTGAAACCATATATAGAATTTAACACAAATCTTCATGCAAAAACAGATAATTAATTTGAAAAAGATTATTATAAGTTAATGAACAACAGTGTATTTGGTAGGACTATGATGAACACAAGGAATCATAAAGATATAAAATTAATTAACGATAAAAAAATAAATAGAAAAACGGGTTGCTAAACCAAATTTTGATCGAGCAACTATTTTTACAGAAAACTTAGTAGCTGTACATATGAAAAAAAACTATGGTTGAATTAAAACGACCAATTTATTTAGGAATATGTATTTTAGATTTATCTAAAACTTGAATGTATGATTTTTATTATAACGTATTGAAAAAAATATCAGATTATTATACACAGACACAGATTTTTTAATAGTTTAATTAAAACTGGTGATTTTTGTACAGATATAAAAAACAAAAACAACTTTTAAATGAATTTGATTTTTTAGTTTATCCTGAGAATATTAAATATGGAATACCCAGAATAAATAAAAAATTCCCAGGTAAATTTTAAGATGAGCTTAATGGTCAAATAATGACTGAATTTGTTGGGTTAAGATCTAAATTATATTCATTTAAAGTATTTGAAAATAAAAATGAAATTAAAAAAGCAAAAGGCGTGAAAAAATCTATAGTTAAAAATTAATTATGTTTTAATGATTTTTATAATTGTTTTTAAAATAAAAATCCAAAATATGTAAAACAGAACACGTTTAGAATAGATAAACATGAAACATATACTGTTGAACAAAACAAAAAAGCTCTTAGTGCATTCGATGATAAAAGATATATTCTAAAGAATGGTATAAATACTTAGGGACATTATTCAACAAAAATAGAAAGAGAAAGTTTCAGAGAACACCTTGATAATTTAATAAAAACAAATAATAAAAAAGAATCATAATTTTAATATAAATTATTTTTGAGAAATAATCTATTTACGCGTAATGAGAAATATATCATATTATTTATTTTTGTTAAAGAGAACTGTTCTTAGTGCAATGTTTATGTAACATTTATTTATATTATTATTTTTAAACATTTTTTAAATTTTTTTTTTTAAATATTATTTTTATTTTATGCATGTAAACAAAGAACAGGAAATAAAACAATGTAAATAAAGATCAGAAATTAGTTTTTAAAGTGAGAATTAAGAGACTACGCCAGGACCGGCATAATCTTATTACTTATATACGTATATAAAATTCGACTTCAAAGAAAAATATCAACTGATTATGTAGAATTTTGTCGACTTATATCATTTTATAGAAGGAAATACTGAAATTATTGTAAACAGGTACACAATATTTTAACCCACCATGAGTCGTGAACGGTCGAAAAGACTGTGCGTTTATTATTCTACTAATTATGTACTCATTGTGATTAATTTACATTATTTTGTGCAATTTAATATCTTTAATGTACATTTTAAGCAATTTTTTTAAAACTATTTAGAACATTTAATAATTGTTTGTCGAATTTATAGATATTTTTAAAATCTGTAACCTGTCAAAAAGACCATGTGTGAGACTTAACTCTGTATCAATTTTGTTAGGTATTAATTTCGTCGGCGTCCTGTTTTAAATGGACAAACCAACCAAAACAATCTATCCCAGTCACTTACCTCTTATCTTTTCAAATAATTAATCGTAGGTGGAAATATTTTCATTTAGCATTTTATATACCATACATTCAAACATATTCTTTCAATCAAATAATTCGTAAAAATGTATTTTCACTTAATACCAACTTTTATTGTAAACTATAGTAAATAAATTAACTATAATTTTTGTAAATCATTAATAAATGTATTTGTATTTAAATTGTTAAAACAAATATGAGATATAAGTGGACGGTCAAAAAGGCCTTGTGCGATATGTGTTATAAATAATGATGCGACTCACGAATCACGTTTCATCCGCTGTAAACACAATAGCTCAGGTCGCCGTCGAAAATGTACGACGAGAGTTATTGAGTCTATATAATCCTGCCGTCGCTGTTGAGTACTTATATTATAGACATTCATTGAAAACAGGTTTTTTTTTGGTATGTATCAACGGACCGTCGCACCATACACGAAGAAGTGACCGACGATATTACCCAGCGTTGGTCGCTCGGCCTGTATTCAATTTTTAGATTATTCTTATCACATTAAAATTTCCGAATTAATATGATATTTTTCAAACATCGTCATTTTCCCCATACAGTTTTAAATTATTTAAATTATTTTGAAAGAAATATAAATTATATTAATTACTATTTACTATAACAAGTATAAATGCGAATTTCATTTTTTTTTTAAATTTACGTATGGAGTGCAATCGCACCAACGCACCTTAGCACGAACCGCCACTGATAGTGTATACCTAATAATATCAAGGTTGATTAATCAACCTTGCCTAATATAATCACCCCGTACGCTTTAACTGGTATTATACCTTTCGTATATGCTCTACAAAAATAATTTCAACATCAGTATCGTGATATTTATTTTGTATGTATTTTCGATTAGGTATATTGTACCTACTTAAATAAAGTTTAAAAAAATAATGATTCTGAAATTTTTGATTTCCACTAATATAATATATATTATCTATATATTTCTAACTGTGGAATGTGTGGCCGGAAACAAATCATATGATTACCTAACACGCCGTGTTCAATTTTAGATAACAATATCATAATTTAATAACCAAAAGTGTTACTGTGTTAATGTCTTTACACACGTATCCACTTAGTTTGTGATCGAAAAACGTAACGATAAATGGATGGTTTCACACACAACCACAGACACAATATTGGAATTTGGAAGTGCTACAAACGATGACAGTGGTTTCGTTCGCCGTAGACCTCGGCGTCTAAAAGAAGCGCTGTTGATTGGCTACGTGTGAAGCGGCCCTTAGTCTAATTTCAAATATGATAGTTTCGTAGAAACGTTATCGACCTGTATTACTCACTAACCCACTGACCCCCATTCACTACTATTTAAATATTTATAATTTGATTTGAATTGTTCTTATTAATTTAATAAAGTGATATTAATTTTTGTAATGTACAATAAATTATATAAGTACACAGATATAAAAATATAAAATGAAAATATATTATAATGATTTTTTATATTATAGGAATCAAAATTGGAAATTACTAAATCAGATAATGGCCAACATGATCAATAGTGGAACACGTGAGTTACACATGAAATAACATAGATTAATGCCAAAATTGCTTTAACTATTACTTAAATATAATACAGTAAAACTTCCTTATAACAATCATTAAAGAGACCGAAAATAATGACCGCTATTTAGAGGTGACCGTCCTTTAGAAATTTCCTATAAAGACATAGGCATAGCATTGACGGGACCAAAAAGAATTACCATTACAAGGGTGATCGTTAACGGAATTTTACTGTAATATAAATGAAATACATAATAAAAAATCTGTGTGTATAATATTTGAACTTACGTATTTTTAAATAGTTTACTTAAATTGAATATTTTTTTTAAATATTCATCAATTAAAAAAAAAATTAGTGGTGTATTGCCGTTTTACATTGTATACTGTTTGTATCTCTGTTTCCCATGTATTATATATTGTTAGTTAATTTCTTTATTTCTACATCTTCTATTGTTTATTCATAAATGTATGACATAAGTTTTTTTAAACAAAAAATATTGTTTAATGTTGCCTATTATATGGTGCCATCTGTGTAACACAACCATTGTTCTGTGTAACATTTAATAAGAAAGCAACACATTTCTTTGACTGCTGACAATTCCCTTTGAATTAATTTATATTGTTTTTAAACATTAATATCTCTAGGCAGTGAATAGGTTTTGCCATATACCCTGATGAGTGAAAGGTGCAAGGCTGTCGGAAATAGATATCATTTGAAGGTATCCTCCTAGAAATATTATAATTAATTCTAAAAACTCTTTACGATTATTTCTGGGTAATTTCCCCACGACTTTATTTTCTTTAAAAAACAATATTTCCAGGAACCATGTCTCAATTTGTTACGCACATCACAATTAGTTCTAAAAATAGAAAAAATTGATTTATCTATACTTGGCCAATTTTTTGGAACTTCTTAAAAGTAGATACATCTGGAATAAATATAATAGAGAGCTTTGTTTCAGGAAAGTCATCTTGTAAGAGAATTTCATACATATGATGACGATAAGCTAATAATAAAATTTATCTTTCTAATTTTTGTTCTAAAAGAACCCATAGTTTATTCAGTAGACTTGTATTAGCAACAGTATCAACAATCATGGCTTGAATTTGATCTTTCAATGATCAATCGATTTATATGTCATATACTGCAGATGATACTTTGGATCTTGTAGATGATATGAGAATATGAATGTCACTATACGAAAGTATAACACAAAGTTGTGAGCATAATAGTTCATTACGGTTAACTTATTTATTTGATTTATAAATACAATTTGATTGGCAAAAAAGTAACTCAAGAGTCAGGAAAAATTATTCGTATCTTATTAATTATATTAAATGAAATAAAATGTGACTGGGTGATGTATTATAACAAAACGATTTTGTAAATCGAAATTAAATCACATAATTTTTAATTTAATATAAGTTATAATAAATGTTTAAAACTTTTTTTTAGTCAATTTAATTTTAAATTTATTTTATTTTATAGTATATCATTGTGTCTTTAATCCAATTTTTTTTAAAAATAAAAGTAAAATAAATGTTTTTATGCATTCAACATTTTCATGTGAAATAATGGGTTAAATATATTTTGTATATTAATATTTTTTTTTTTGTGTTAATTTAAAAATAATTGCAAAAAACTAAAAGGCAACCACTTTGTGCAATAATTTCACTTTTTCTTGGCAGAGAAACAGTTTAGTTTTCCAATCCAAATTTGCATAAAATTATTTTTTTCTTTTCGATACAAAAAATTTGGTGATAAGTTTACACATTTTTACTTTTTCAAGAAAATAATCACCTTAATATATATATATTTTTATTATAAAATTATATTTACTAACATTAACTATTTCTGTCTCACTAAGAGCAACATAGATTTATTTACTTCAAACAACATACATATTTTTAAAAATACATTTAAGTCCTTATTATAAATACCTCTTATCATTATTGTTGTTTATAATCGTTTCAAAATTAACCTTAATGATTAAGTTATAGTTAAATTCAAAAAATTAATATTGTTATTCTTGGTATTGGTATTATTATTATATATTATTCAAACTACTAATAATTAATAACATTTTTGTCTTATATTATTATTATATATTGAACTATATGTCCATAAATAAATAGCAACAATTTGTTTCTTAGAATTTAAATTACACAATTCAGATAACATAATTTAAGTATGAGAATAATTTCTAATGCACCATATAGTTCTATGTCCTAAAATATTGTTTGCTCAAAGTAGCAGCTGATTATAAAAAAAAATAACATAGCCATATTTGTTTAATTTGTTAATATTTTTGAAAATAATAGATTTCGTATAGTGCCCACTTATATTAATTTAATAATGTCCATTCAATTAACATAATGTGTATAATGAGGATAATTTAAAACAACTATACTATGACTGACTAAGGGACAGATTTTATCATTAATTTCACAAATACGTTATTTATTTTACCAATATCTTTTAAATAATATAAACCGAAAGTAATTAATGATACACTTCATTTTAGTTCATGTTTTGATTATTGAGGTAAAGTAAACTTAATTGAGTTTCCTTACTCAAATTATTGTTACGTGTAATTCATAGTATTTTGACCAGTCAAAAACTAATTTTTTATATCTAGATTTTAGCTAACTTTTTTCATTCATCGTATTATTTAAGAATTTAAAACTGTAGTTCATAAATTACCAAAGCTGAAACCCTATTGTGATTAACTTAAATTATTAAATTTAGCTCATATTTTAAATAATGACATGCCATTTTTTTTTTTAACAAAAATAAACTTTTTGTGAAAAAAAACATATTTTTATGTGCAAATTAAATTATGTTTTATAATTGAAGGACCAGCGTTACCTGACCAGCCTAGGGATCGTCGTAGAAAAAAGATCGATGCAACAAGTTATTTATATAAAGTTCCGTTCGCCTTCGGTAAGTATATTTGTATATTAGTTTGTTGTTTGTTATTTCTTATTTTTGAGGTTTTTGTCATTAAGACCATCTCGTCACACCCTCATCCAAATTTTTCTGCCAACTTCGGTTATTTTTTATCTGATCCTTAATTAAGCCTGATTCTTATGATAAAATTTTGTTTAATAACACGAACAGTAAATTCACGGTTAATGACAAATTTAACTGCTGGTTAGTGTTGAACGGATATTGTAAGAACGGACCTTAAATATTCCTTGTCTCTGCATAACATATACTCAACTCAAATAGTATTTTACATTTATAAACTATTTTTTTAGGCTGGAATAGAGAAATAGTCCTGAGAAATACATATCCAAGAAAAAAAAAAAAGGGCGATGTGTATTATTACTCGCCAGAAAATGTAAAATTTAGGTCGATAAAAGAAATTTTCAGAGCATTGCCAGAAAACGGAATATTGAAAACCAAACATTTTTTAATGGCACCTATTCCAACGGAAGTAAATGATTATAGGACAGAATTTATCCGCAAGGCCGGTACAAAACCAAAAGAAGTAATAAAAATTGTTTTAAAAATGTTTAAAAAAAATATATTATTAAATATAATATTGTTTAATTTTGATTTATATGTTCTCTTGTTATAATATGATTTTAGTATATGGAATTTAATAATAAGCGTACACGGAATTTAGCCACTGAAGAAGAAGCTGCTGTCAATGGTATGGGTGAGTAGTTTGGAAGGTAGTAGAGTGGAAATTTAATGTATATCTGTACGCAAAGATTAACCATTGATAATGAAAAAACGATTCTGAGTAGAATTTGATTGATAGTGTTGCTCTGTAAACAATATATATGCTATATTATGGTAAAATTATTACATAGGCATTATATATTTTCTTTAATAATATTTATATTGTACCTATTTTACCGTTTTTCTCATTTATTGGGAAAACTCTTGAGGAAAATCAAAAAAATCTACCTTCTTAAAGTTCCTCTCCAATCAAATTAATTTTTAGAAAAAGTATTATCAAAGTAAATTGGAGTGAAATTGATGTAAGAAATATTGTTCATAAGAAAACAAATTTGTAATTTTTTTATCAACTAATACCTACAGTTCCTATATTTTCCTATTTTTAATATCATGGAATTTTCAACATTAGCCATAACATAATATTATGTATTTAATTGTGATAAAGCCTAGTATACATATATTGATGTGTAATTATTGTTGCAATAATCGCTCATATGTAAACATTTTTTAAATTTTTTAATGGTTAGAACTCGCTGATAGTTTTCTATTCTTATGTTTACTATTTTTGTTGTTCATAAGGGTGAATAATAGTTCTTAATTTTCTAATGAACACACTTTGGATCTCTTGATAATCCATAGCACTCTTCATAACTTGGCACCTTTTAATACAACTGCATCTACATCAAAATATGAATATTGAATCTCTTAACAATAGTACATTTTTTTTTGGTATAAAATGCTTTTATTAATAATAAAACACCTATGCATTATATTAATTATTTTCACAACTACAGAAATACACAACGGTTTGTTAAAATTAAAAAATTAAATAAAATTGTTTTAATTTTGTTTTAGGTGTCAAGGAAGAAAATATTGCACCATCTACATCACAGCTATGTTGTCACTGTAACAATTACCACAATTAAGAGTCCTAATTATAGGGCTATTTATAAGTTTTTCAATTTATAGAGAAATAAAAACTCATAATGTGTAGGTAGCAATATCTATAAATGTTCAAAAAAAAAACTTATAAATAAATATTATATGATTTAAAATAATAATGCAAATCTGAGTTTTAATTTATTTAGAAAATAGTTAGTGATTTTTAATTACAACCCATTCAGGGAAAAACAGTATCAGGAAATAAAATAAAATAAACCAAAAATATCATAACGAATTTTGCTTTATTAAAAAACTAATGATCATACGGTGGTAAATAATACGCAACTGGAGAAAAAACCGTGCATGTCGAGTTGCATTCGATCGATTCCAAAAAAGTTTCATGCAAGTTCGTTCGATTTTCGGTTACGTTGCAACCAGTGAGAACATGTTCGTAATTTGTATTCGCTCTGTTGCGTCGCAATCGAGTTGCGGTTGCAAGTTGCTTTGGTGACAATACCTGAAGAGAACGTTGTAACTCCGTAAATTTGTTCGTAATAACTAATAACTATTTGGCGCGGGGAAAGAAGTGAGAAGACTACAGTTAAAATTAAGAAACAAAATTATCACGATATAAAAAGAAGAGTTTTGGCTATGAAATGCCATTTTTATTATTTCCATATCAGAACTACAAAAGAAGTTATTCAAGTCTGAAATACACAAAAATAATGAATTTTGAAACTTAAATAACTTCGTTTGTAACTCTAATAAAAATAAAAATAAAAATAAAAACGGCATTTCACAAAGTTCTCCTTTTTATATTGTGATAATTTCATTTCTTAGTTATAACTGTAGCCTTATCGGTTCTATCCCGTACGAAACAGTTTTAGTTTAAAAATGTAAATTTTATTAAACATTTTATGCCACTAATTCCACTGTCATTGTATTTGGTGGAGTCCTTCCTTCCACTACAACGCAACACGTAGCATCATGTATTGCTCGTGTGGAGCGCGTGTATGCAATGTTTTTATTTTTATTTCATACGGATATACAGATAAAATATTCTTATCGATAAGAAAAATTATTTTAATGTAATCTATTTGTTTTATAGGTAGTTGTATACATATCATTTACTATTTACGTATAATTATAAATAATGGTACTATAATATAATATATTGTACATATTTTATTTTGTTCAATACCCTGAATAAAAATATTAGAAATTTAAAATGAAAATTTTAGGTGCAAATATTATTAATTTTTAATTATTACCTACTATTCTATATTTCTATACTTCCAATGAAAAACCAGTACGTCACGCGTCGTCGTCATATTTTACGCATATATTATGTCATATTATTAGAAATTATAATGTTATATAATAATTATAAATTACCTATAATGTATAACATACGCACAATATGTTATTATACTTAGTTGTGTAGTTATAGGGAGTTAGATCCTGGTGACGTACATAAAGATGTACTCCTATGTGTCCTGTGATGATAGGTGATGGGCAATGGAATAAACGCAGCTACAAAACAAAATATAATGCGTTATCAGGAGTGGTATTAATATTTGTTTGATTATTTATTTTTAGAGACTAAAATAAAAATTGATATATAATTATAATTTTAAGATTTTGGAAATTTGTTCTAAATTACTAGATTTTTTCAAAAAGGCTTTTATATTACTTTTGTGATTTCCGAAATTTTTTTTTACATTACTTCATTAAAAATTATTTTTGTAATTTGTTTCAAAACACATTTGTTTATGCTTATATAAAATATAACTAACATGCATTTCGAAAAAAAATTAAATTAGTTGGGTGGTATACTTGTTTCATTATTTTTTTCAATAGGACATTTATTTTTATAACTTAATTACTAGATGATTTTTGTTGATTTATTAAAGGTTGTAAAATAATATTATTTTAATATAGATGTATTTTTTTAAATTCATACAACAATAAATCGGTACATAGCACTGTTTTTTTTTAAGATTCTGAGCGATAATTTCTAAACATTTTACAACACAAAAACAAAATCGAAAAATAAGGAAAATAATATTACCATCAACTTTTCTGTATTTTTTGTTTTTCCCTGGAAATTAAATTATATGATGACGACGAGCGATGGGCGAGTTTATCTTCGGAAATCGGAATGATAAAATATTAACAACATTATTTCTTTTTCTATTTCTATTATTTTTATTCAGAATTACATTAAAAAAATATTATTTAGTTACTATATTATACCTCTTACATCTTTTGAGTTATAATAGCACATAAAGCAAACAGAACATTTCCCAAAAATTACATACTGAAGTTTTCATGATTCATAAATAAGTATATTATATTTATCGTAGGTAATTTATTATAAACTCTAGTTATCGCTAGTTGTTTAATAACATAAAAAGTAATCATGTTATTAAAACGATTCAAGCTATGATAGAAAACGAATTGTATTATCTTTTTCTGTATACATATGTATATTAATCTTATAAATCTTTAACATATGTATAAAGATACAGTAGCTTAAAATAGTAATTAGCTCATAAGCAGGCTCTTTTTTTATAACTTTCTAATATATATTTACTATATATTAGAGTGTATCCATTTTATATGTGTGTATTATATTATACAAATTATATATTTTGTAATTATTATGTATAGGTATTACTATCATTACTGTATTTATGTAAATAATTGTTTTGTTATCATTTATGATATTATTAACTATAGAACCATAGAGGTAATTTGTGAAATCTGAACAATAATATAGAGGTACTTAGTTTTATTAATTAATTGTTAAAATTAAATATAAATTAGGAAATTGATAAGAGACTGCACTTTAACGCCAACATTTTTTTTCTGATATCAAAAATGCTTTCTACAGTAACTTTGTGTATTTCATTCATGATTACTGGTCAGGTTAGGTTTGGATATCGAGCGTAGCGATGAATATTGCATTGGTTTTACTACGATGACGAGTGCGATTCTTTTTACTTTATATTATATGAACACGATTTCGTCCGAAAGATTTGTTTCAATCGACTGCAGAGGAATAATATTGACGATACTATGATAGGACATTTTTTTGCGAATTAAGTTCTTGAATACCGAAAAATTGCTCTAAAATTTGATAAATACGAGATTCATCGTAATATTAAAAATTATACACTCATTTATTAGTGGCTAATAAAAAGTCATACACGTTACATATACTATACGAGAAAAAGTCATTTTAAACTTTAACTATGACTAGCTGTCCTGCGTGACTGCCCATGTCATTATTGAACGAAAATAAAAACGCGGTTCTCAGTGACTCCTTGTTTTAATCCCCGTTCCAATCATTGCATCGAACCGTTGTTGTTCGTACATTTTAAAAAATGCATTTTCTTTTATTTCCCGTTTGTCCTTTAACAGTCATATTTTGAATCCATTTTTTTTTTGGCAGTTGCCTCCCGAGCCTCCCCCCTCTTATTTACGCATATGCTACAAACCTTGTACGGGTTTCTCAAGAAATACGGATGTCAATACCATTCGGTTCGAGTATTCTTTATATCTGACTGTTTTTGTACTTTACGAACGAACGAACGGACATTTATTTTTATACAGTAGTATAAATAATATGTATATTTCGTTTCAAATTTGGCATTTTGGCTGAAGTAATTGGAAGGTTATTAATTAGTTTTTAAATGAATGTTGCTTTATGTTTAAGCCATATAATATTATATTAGGTTAACTTGAGTATAATTACCCAATAAAATAATATTATATTGCATGCGATTAATTACCATGACCTAAAATATGAACCCTATCTGTTAAGATTGAGCATCGGTTTGTTTTTGAAATTAATAATTTACCGTTCAATCAAATATATTGATTAGTTGAAATTATACGAGTAAATATTAGCTAAAATTATAGCTGTGTCATAAATAAATAAATGTAAATCAAGCAATGTTATTACAAGTCACATTCATTATTTTTATTAAATTTATGTTAATGAAAATAAAATGCGCGTAATAAACAACATAAAATTATGTTCAAACTATATTGTAATACATTGCCTGTGTTACTTAATAGAATAGCCAATACAAAATTAGAGAAGAATTTTATTTATTTATCAATGAAAATCGTGAAAATTAAGAATTGTTGATAGTTGGAATGAACATAATATTTCGATTAAACGTAAATGTCACCATTCATTATAATTTTATTTTAAATTATTTTAGCATTTTATGACTAATTTGCATAAAATTGACCACTCTATGTTTTAGTATATACTTCTTTAAAAATATTAATTATTTTGTAAAATCCAAAATCAGAATCGCATTTTATTATTACAATATAAATAACATAGGTATATCAAATATTCCGAGTTTTTTGAAAATAATACGCGAGAGTATTATAAAAACAATTCATTTTACTTACAGTACGTTTCACGAAACTAGCGACAGTGGCGCTTCCGGTGGTAGGTTTTCGTGAGGTTTTCCTAAACGTGTTACTAAAAAAGCGCGATAATTTAAAAATGACGTGGCAATCAACCATCGAACAGCTGGCTCTGTTGATATGAATTTTACTTTCCACTGCCAAACATTTTATAACTACCATGTAGGTACCATAGATACTCCATGATAAACACACAGTCGCATGGTGATTGGTGAACGTATTACTGTTGATAACGATAACAACCACATTATTTTGTTGGTATGTTTACTTCGTTCGAATTATCTAGACGATTGTTTTTATTGACAACTTTATAACTTTATAACTTTAGTACGATTAATCAGTAAGTTTTTATGTATATGTATAATGTATAATAAAATATGTATAGTATATTTTACAATACAAAAATAAATAATTTTTAAAAATAAAAATGAAATTAATTTTACAATAAATAAAATAATTAATTTTATTCATATTTTTTAAAAACCGTGCAGTATTCCAATTGCCGCGTATTGTGTGCAAGTTTAAGAAACCGCGAAACACCGAAATTTCGCGACCGGAAGTGCTTCTGCGGAGTCGCTAGTTTCGTGAAATG